CGTATTCTGTTGTTTTTGCATGGAATGTCCTATAAATATCAATTAAGTCCACCTTGTTTAATGTATCATTTAAAGCTTGTGTTTCCGTATTTATTTGCATTTTGGATGATCTGTTCATTGGTGAAAGTGGGGTGTTAAAGTCCCCTCCTATGATTGTGTTACTGTTGATTTCCCCTTTTATGGCTTATGATTTCCCCTTTTATGGCATTTGCCTTATGTATTGAGGTGCTCCTATGTTGGGTGCATAAATATTTACAATTGTTATATCTTCTTCCTGAATTGATCCCTTGATCATTATGTAGTGTCCTGCTTTGTCTCTCATAATTGTCTTTATTTTAAAGTCTATTTTGTCTGATATGAGTATTGCTACTCCAGCTTTCTTTTGATTTTCCATTTGCATGGAATATATTTTTCCATCCCCTCACTTTCAGGATGTATGTGTCCCTAGTCTGAAGTGGGCCTCTTGTAGACAGCATATATGTGGGTCTTGTTTTTGTATCCATTGAGCCAGCCTCTGTATTTTGGTGAGAGCATTTTATCCATTTACATTTAAGGTAATTATCAATATGTATATTCCTATTACCATTTTCTTAATTGTGTTGGGTTTGTTATTGTAGGTCTTTTCCCTCCCTTGTGTTTCCTGCCTAGAGAAGTTCTTTTAGCAATTGCTTTAAAGCTGTTTTGGTGGTGCTGAAGCCTCTTAGCTTTTGCTTGTCTGTAAAGCTTTTAATTTCTCCATCAAACCTGAATGAGATCCTTGACGCGTAGAGTAATCTTGGTTGTATATTTTTCCCTTTCATCACTTTAAATATGTCCTGGCTCTCCCTCTGGCTTGCAGAGTTTCTGCTGTAAGGTCTGCTGTTAACCTTATGGGGATTCCCCTGTATGTTATTTGTTTTTTTCCCTTGCTGCTTTTAATATTTTTTCTTTGTATTTAACTTTTGGTAGTTTGGTTAATATGTGTCTTGGTGTGTTTCCCCTTGCATTTATCCTGTATGGGACTCTCTGTGCCTCCTGGACTTGATTGACTATCTCCTTTCCCATGTTAGGGAAATTTTCAACTATAGTCTCTTCAAATATTTTCTCAGACTCTTTCTTGTTCTCTTTTTCTTCTGGAAACCCTATAATTCAAATGTCAGTGCATTTAATGTTGTCCCAGTAGTCTCTAAGACTGTCCTCAATTCTTATCATTCTTTTCTCTTTATTCTGCTCTGCAATAGTTATTTCCATTTTTTTATCTTCCAGGTCACTTATCTGTTCTTCTGCCTCAGTTATTCTGCTGTTGATTACTTCTAGAGAATTTTTAATTTCATTTATTGTGTTGTTCATCATTTTTTGTTTCCTCTTAGTTTTATAAGTCCTTGTTAAACGTTTCTTGTGTTTTCTCCATTCTATTTACAAGATTTTGGATCATCTTTACTATCATTACTCTGAATTCTTTTTCAGGAATACTGCCTATTTCCTCTTTTTTTTTTTTCTGGTGTGTTTTTATGTTGCTCCTTCATCTGCTGTGTGTTTCTCTGTCTTCTCATTTTGATTAACTTACTGTATTTGGTGTCTCCTTTCCGCAGGCTGCACATTGATAGTTCCCATTGTTTTTGGTCTTTACCTCCAGTGGCTATGGTTTGTTCGTGGGTTGTGTAGGCTTCCTGGTGGAGGGTACTAGTGCCTATGTTCTGGTGCATACGGCTGGATCTTGTCTTTCTGGTGAGCAGGACTGCATCTGTTTGGCTTTTTGGGGAATGTCTGTGACCTCATTATGATTTTAGGCATCCTCTCTGCTAATGGGTGGAGTTGTGTTTCTGTCTTGCAAGTGGTTTGGCATAGGTTGTCCAGCACTGTAGCTTACTGCTTGCTGAGTGGAGCTGGGTTTTAGGGTTGAGATGGAGATTTCTGTGAGAGCTTTCACTGGTTGATATTACATGGAGCTGGGAGGTCTCAGTGGACCAATGTCCTGAACTCAGCTCTCCCACCTCAGAGGCACAGAGCTGACACCAGCTGGAGCACCAAGACCCTGCCAGCCACATGGCTCCAAGTCTGATGAGAGGAAAGAGAAATACCAGCTCGTGTGCAGAATCATCCCACAGATCACAGTAATGACACCTTCAGCTTGATCATGGTGATGTTTTCATGAGTGTTTGCATATGTCCAAACTCACCAAATTGTATACAGGAGGACATTGAAAATATTGCTGGTACAGTTCCAGGCCACTTTTTTTTTCTTTTGTTTTGCATTTAGTCTAGTTTCACTGGCTCATAGGGTGCAGTGTGCAGAGACCTCAAACCCAGCACCTTCAGACCAGAGTTTCTAGCTCAAAGCCGTTGCACAGCATCCCAACTCAAGATGGAGGTGGAGACAGCAGGCTGTGTGTAGAGTATCACTGTCATTTTAAGATCTATTGCTAAATATGCCAGAGGTTTCAGTTATTTATTTAATCCAAGCCATTGAATTTTTAAACATTACTGATTATTTTCTTTGTTTAACAAGAGTACCCAGATTTACGTAATGATGTGCTGGTAAGTCTTTGACAAACAACTCTTGGAGTGGAGGTTATGGCATGGGATGTTGGAAAAGCACTGATTTGTTGCACTTGCCGATTTCCATGGTATAAATATGTTTTCATTAAACATAGAGCTTGAAAAGATACGTGCACTATTGACATTCTGAAAAGATGTAAACAGAGCTGGTCTGAGATGTCTTTTAAAAAATCACATACAGTTTATTTTTTAAAACAGATATATTCAGGAGAATTGCATACAAGCCCTTCAAATTTTGAACTCCATGGTACATTGCAAACGATTAGTCTTACTAAAGTTTTTTATATCTAACTTTGTAAGGAAATATCTACTCCATTATATATATTTTATATATGTTTATCTTGTTAATTGTTGAACTTTTGCAGGAAAGCTTATCTGATATTTGTTATAGATTTTTATACTCTTAAAATTCAATAAAATATTTCCAAATTGGATAAAAATATATTTATGAATCATAAAAAATTTGCAAGGAAATACATATCACAAACAAATAATTGGCCAAATGTCTTAGCAAATCTTTTAATATTGATCTAGTAATTCTGCCTCTGTAATTCTAAATAAGGTGGAATAAATGTATCTCTAAACTAATTTATGTAGTGCCAACCTATATGTGTGCATATGTGTGTGCATGTGTGTGTGTGTTTGTGAGACTAGGAGATAAAAGGAATAAATACCAATCAACATTCCACTGTTTATCTTTGCTTAGGATACATATTTTTATTTTTCCTGTATTCTTAAACCCTCTCTCCAATCTCTGATAATGAGCAGGGACACATTATATCTGAATTTATAAATAAGAGCCCTGGTATAGTAGGGCTAGGTCCTATTTTAGTTAGGCAAATATTGAATTATAATGGTTACTACCGAGTGGTCAGTGGAAGAGCTAAGTTGTGTTCACTTTTCGTTTTGTTTGAGTTTCTAATTTACCATTTGGAGCCAGTATCATAGCCTGGATCTATGCTTACCCTCAGCCCTCCTTCTCATGGGAGAAAAAGGGAAACAGAAGGCACTACTAGAGTGCCTGGCATGAGGTAGGCCCCCAATAAATATTGATTGACTGGGAGCAGGAAAAGTTTGAGATCTCAGACTATCATTAGTGTTTAATTAAAGCTGTCCACATGATTAGAATGCTTACAACTCCATCCTGTTTCTACTTTTTGGAATTAAACATACCCTTCAAGCTTACTTTTGTGTGAAGCCTTCCCTGATTGCTCCAAAGAGACTTCTTCCTCTTTTAATTTTCCATTCTCTTTCATTTTTAATCATGTGTTATTTACCAACATTATCCTTGGCACTCAAGGATAAACTCCTAGAAGAAAGGGATAGGATCTTCCACATTTGTATGGTTCACTTCATTTCAAAAAATTTTGTGAACAAACTCATGCTCTATTGTTATTATTTCAATTAATAAATATGAATATACATCTAAAGATGAAACTTGGAAACAAATCCTATACCTGAATACTACTCTTAAAATACATTAAAAATTACTCTGTAACATTTCTTAGTTTTTAAAAAATACCGATTTTCCCTCATACTTCCCTTCAATGCTAATTGAGAAACAACCATATTCCAATTTTTCTGTAGCCACTATAGAGGAAAACCATGGACATTTTAAATAGCAAAACTATTCCAATTAAAAATGTATATTTTCAGAGAATTTCATAATAATGAATGAATTGGAGTTTATTTGAATTCCCCCTTCTAATGGTGGGGGAATCTTGGCCTACATGATTTGCTCTCAGAACCTTATCACTCTTTAGAGGGACCTCAGATGTGGTGGCCTGTCACTGTTTAGAAATATGTCATTTCACATGAGAAAACTGTGGCCCTGAGGACACTAGTGAGAAAGAGGTCATGAACTCCTAATTAAAAACAAAATTCCCACCAGGTGCATTCAGAGTCAGATTTACTATGAACCAAATGAAGCTTAATTTTCAGGCCCCTCACACAGAACGCTTCTAAGTCTGAGGGACACGCTCCAAGATAGAATCTTTTCCTTAGTGTGACACGAAAATTGTATAAACTTCAGACACCACAAAATAGGGCTCTACCTCTGGGCATACGCGTGAAAGAAAATGTGGGATATTGTGCAAAGAGAACTTTGAGGATGTCTAGCGGCCTCGATTCTGGGCTGTGTTTGGCATTAACTTGCCAGGTCTCCTTTCAGAATCATCTAAACTTGCTGAGCTTCAGTTTGTTTATCTGTGAAATGATACTGGTAATTAAGTTAGCCCATCTTCCTATCTGAGTTATGTAATAATTACCTGAGACAACATTTGAATATTCAAAAATCAAAGAGTTCAAAAATAATTAGTAATTAACTGAAAAATGTAAAAATTAAAAGTGTTTGGAATTGACCTTGTTAAACACGAGGCCACCATTAATCTTCCCAATGTTCAACAATGTCAACAGTAAAAATCTCTAAGAATTCTCCCTAACTCAACTCTGTTCCTCCTACAGAAGAAGCAACACAGCCCTGCCTGAATCAGAAGTGTTCTTTAATCCTAGATTGCAGTGGATTGACCTTTTATGACTATTCTGGAGTCTCCATGCTTGTTGAGGTATTTGCACAGCTTGTGTTTGGACTGATTCTTTCCCTTCCCTTTAGAAACAGGGTTTCACCAGCCTCTCTCTCAACTCTGGGGTTTTGATCCTGCTTGTTTCAATACTCATCTCACCCATTCTCTCCAAAGGGCACAGACTTTATTACTCCCACTACTGTAGATTTCTTTTCAGGAGATGCCGTGAAGTTTCTAACTGTGTGTGAATCTGGAGAGCGCGGGAGGAGTAGAGGTGGGTATTCATGTGGGGTGTTAGAACAGAACATAGACTTGGGATGTAATGGGTATAGCAGATGCTGGGCAGTCAACTCCTAGGTTTCTAGAAAGAAGGAGAAAAGTCCCCTCCATGAGCAAGTGGCCTGATGATGGCAGGATGTTGTCTCTCACATCATGGATGGGTACAGTCTGACCTGAAACCATTCCTGGTCTCTGAAATAATACTCAGTGCAGGGGTTTTTCTCCATTCTCTCAGACAATCGTGTCCTCTACCCCATGATATCCATGGGGTCTCCATGATCCCGTTGCAAAAAATAAAAGTTTTATTTCTTTAAAACTGAAGCCTCCATTTAGTTAGATGGAACACCTAATTTTGCCAATTCAAGGAAAACTCAGACACTTCTGGAATTGTTTCCTCCTTTTTTTTTGAGTAAATACTAAGTCAACAAGGAATGTACTCCCTTTCTAATTTCCATTTATTCTCTCCTCAATACCCTAAATATGAGGGAGGATCTTGAGGACCAAGCAATGTCTATTTCGCAGCTGTCCTCAGTCCTCCATTAGCTTCTGCTGTGTGGAACTTGGTTCATCTCGCCTTTGGCTGTTTTTTCCCCAGTGGTTCTCTTACCCTGGCTTCATACAGTCTCCTGCTGTGTGAGGCTTTGTATTCAGCCAAAAACTTAATCATAACCTATGGCAATTTCTGGAGCTCTTTCCCTGCATATTTCCATTCTTTCCATTACTCTCTCCCATAAATTTCACCCACTCAAGCCTTCCTAAATGCCAGTTCTGTCTTCTCAGCTCAGTAAAGTGGCTGCATTTTGCTTGGGTCCCCCCGACATCATGTCACGGTCCACAAACTGCTTTGAAGCGGAAAGCTGAGATGATCTGAGAGCTCACCTCGTTTGTTTTTTTTTTCTTTCAGAAAACTCAGTCCTTTTCTGCCTGTTCCCATTGTCAAAAAACAATTTATATATTTTCTCCATTTGTCTACTTATTTACGAAGGATAGAATAGTCTTTATATTAATTACTCTTCATGGCCAGAAGTCAAAATTGGACCCTGACTTTTAAAGAGTTAAAACCAGTAGTCCTAGAAGGTCTCACATTGTAGATTTTGATTGCTTTCTCATGGTGTTGCATAACTGTCTCTATTCATTCATATTTTAAATTTGAAATGTCCAACCTTTCAAACTCAAGATAGTACAAAGCTCAGCTTCAGTCTGGCTTTCCTGTGAAGATGGGGTGGGACTATGTGAAGAGAAGTAGCTTACCATGTGACAGAGCGTAGTCTCAGATCTATCACACCCGCTGGGAGGGGTTAGGAAAATTGTCTAACCTGTCTGGATCTCAGTTTATTCATTTTGTAAAAATGGGGGGGGGTGATTTTGTTTCAGATTTAGTAGATATTAAAAAAAGAAATAAATTATGCAAAAGAATTGAATTTTAAATATCCTAGGCCTTAAATCTAGTGGCTGTTTTTGGTAAATTTTCCACATGTAATATGCTTTTAATTTCTTGTTGCTCACCATGAAAACTTTGCACAATTTGGCATAGGGTTCAACCTCAATACTTTTCTTGCATCTAAATCCTGACTGTAAACAGAGAGTCTCTCATCATTGGAGGGCTTCTTGTGTTCAGCACTTTTATTTACTGTGTTGCCAAGGTCTAGAAGAGCACTGTTAAACCTATGTGTATAAGGATCACCTGGGGAGCTTATTTAAGATGCAGTCTTTTGATGGAGTGATCATTTTGAAATGTACAGAAATTTTGAAACATTATATTATGTAACAGGAGCTAACACAGTGTTGTTGGTCAATTATACTCCAAAAGCAAACAAACAAACAAACTCATAGAAAAAGAGATCAGATTTGTGGTTACCAGAGGCAAGGGGTGAGGGGAAGGGGAATTGGATGAAGTCAGTTAAAAGGTACAAACTTCTGGTTATAAGATAAAAAGTACTAGGGATGTAGGTACAACATGATAAATAGAATGAGCACTGCTCTATGTTATATATGAAAGTTGTTGAGAGAGTAAATCCTGAGAGTTCTCATCAGAGGAAAAATATCTTTTTTCTATTTCTTTAATTTTGTATCTATATTAGATGATGGATGTTCACCAAACTTATTGTGGTCATCATTCCATGATGTATGTATGTCAGATCATTATGCTGTATACCTTAAACTTATACAGTGATGTATGTCAATTATAACTCAATAAAACTGGAAGGAAAAAAATACAGTTTTCTGAGTCCTGGTTCTGGCCCAGGAATATTCATTTTAAACAATGTAGTTTGTCCAAGGATTATGTTTTGAGCAACACTAGACTAGGATTGTTCTTTTACTGGGAAAAGTCAGTATGTATATTTTTTGTTTAATTGTATTTAAAATTTGTTTTGAATATACTCCAGTATTTATTAGCTGTCCTCTCTAGATATTGCAAATCAGGACTTAGAGTTAGTAAAGAGGAGGAAATGGTTACTTATTGTCAGTGAGTTTAAGATCTAAGGTTGAAAATTCAGAGGAATTCAAATAATCTATGTTTTGGGCATGGTGAGAAAGAAACTTTTAAGAATTCATCTTAATGGTTTTAAAATATTGCACAACATAATGAAGGAATAAGTCAACTGATGTATTTTATTTGTAAATGGGCAGAAAGACATTTGCCCTTCTATATATACAAAACCAGCAGTTTTGTATCAATTTGCTTTTTGTGTGTGTGTGTGTGTGTTATGCGGGCCTCTCACTGCTGTGGCCTCTCCCGTTGCGGAGCACAGGCTCCGGACGCGCAGGCTCAGCGGCCATGGCTCACGGGCCCAGCCACTCCACGGCATGTGGGATCTTTCCGGACCGGGGCACGAACCCGTGTCCCCTAGCATTGGCAGGCGGGCTCTCAACCACTGTGTCACCAGGGAAGCCCTTCAATTTGCTATTTTTAGTTTCCTTATTAGTATTTAGTTTATTTCATCATGGTTACAGTAAATTATGATGTATGTTACAACCATAAACTTTAAATATAGACAAATTCTAGGTCCAAGTATTAGCTACATAACTAGTTCTAGGATCTGGGTTTAAGTATTTGTTTGCTCTTCTGTAAACTGGAAGTAGAAATACTTTGAGTTGTTGTGAAGCTTAGAAATGACATATTGTATATAAAGTGTATAAAAAGGTTTCTAGAAGTTAGTTAAGTACTCAATAATGTTAGCTTCTATTTGTTCTCATTTTGCAAAAGTCATTTCTTAAAATAATATCACTACAACTAATACTATTTCTTAGTTCCTGCCACCCTGAAATAGGGTCCAGACTAAAGAGCCACAGAATCTCTTCAGCCATGCATGTCTTCCTGCTTCCCAAAAACACTCCCTGGATTATTTTCTCAGTCACTTTGGTATAAGGAAGATTCTCCTAAGAGGTATAGGTTGAAGAAAATGGAGTGAATGCTATTTGTTCTTCTACTTAGGACACTTCTACTTAGTGAACTAGAGAATATGTTTATCAGCATCAATAAACCACCCATAGCAATGTGTTTGTGCTTCACTGAGCTTAAGAAAAAGTAAAACACTGACAGATCACTTTGAATTGTCATTTTAACTTACGAAAACAGGAGCCATTTATTCAATGGCAAGCCTCAGACCATGTATTATTTATTTGTTTATTTGCTTGTTTATTTATGCCCAGAGTGATGTCTCCTATTATTCCACAATTCTTCTACCATAGAGATAACTGCTTATTGCTGGAAGAATGTAAGGGAAAATTTTGGGTGTATCATGCATACCCTTAAAAAGTTTTGTAAACGCAGCATTCTACATTTTATATGTATGACACTTTACTATTACGTAACCAAATCCAACCTACTATTACTAAAACTTCTGGATTTACTGAGTTTTGTCGGCTGACTTTGGTCTGGGTGAATTTAAGATCAGGGCCTTCAGTAAGGTTGTTACTACTTGAGATTTTCTAGGACTTAAAGAAGGCAAGACCCTGCAGTATGCCAAGAAAATTAGTCAGGATGTCTCATCTTGGTGGACCATAAAAATGGAAGTTGGGCAATGAAACTTGGCTTTGATTATAGTGAGGTTCTCAATTTACTGTCCATGGATGGGGTTTAGAGAATCCATGAATATGTGCAAATTGTTGTAAAATATTAAAGTAAGCAGTAGGTAAGCAGTTTCATCATATTCACAGATGGGTCCTTGACTTCCAATAAAAGATGGTTGAAAACAATTTTATATCATTCTTATAGGGAAGGAAAGGTGGTGTTTTTATTTTTATTAATTAAAATGGAAAATGTAAGCAGCAAAACTTAGTTACATAAAAGGTAAATGCCAGAACATGGAAGCAACCTAAATGTCCATCGACAGATGAACGGATAAAGAAGATGTGACACATATACACAATGGAATATTACTCAGCCATAAAAATAAATGAAATTGAGTTATTTGTAGTGAGGTGGATGGACCTAGAGTCTGGCGTACAAAGTGAAGTAAGTCAGAAATAGAAAAACAAATACTGTATGCTAACGCATATATATGGAATCTAAAAAAAAAGAAAAATGACACTGATGAACGTAGTGGCAGGGCAGGAATAAAGACATAAACATAGAGAATTGACTTGAGGACACAGAGGGGGAGGGGGAAGCTGGGGCAAAGTGAGAGGAGCATCGACATATATATACTACCAAATGTAAAATAGATAGCTAGTGGGAAGCAGCAGCATAGCACAAGGAGATCAGCTCAGTGCTTTGTGACCACCTAGAGGGGTGAGATAGAGAGGGTCGGAGGGACATGCAAGAGGGAAGGGATATGGGGATATATGTATACATATAGCTGATTCACTTTGTTTACAACAGAAACTAACACAGTACTCTGAAGCAATTATACTCCAATAAAGAGCTATTTTAAAAAAAAGAAAGAAAGAAAAAAAAAAAAAAGGTAAATGCCTTGCTGGCGTTCATCTTCCTTTGTTAAGACCATCTCTTTTAGAAGTGGGTCAGAGTATGCCTGAAAGTGTTACAGTGCCACCCCCTGGTGGTGTGGTGTCATAAACATTGGCTTTTTTTTTTACTAGAAATTCTGCCTTCTGAAGCTCATCTTATTCCCTCCTGCCAGCTATCCTGAATTAATTGTGGGTGTACTATTTTAATTCTTCCAGATTTACACGGACTGCAAGAACAAGAGTGTGGATGTATCATTAGTCCACTGCACAGGTAAGGGAGTATCCTTGGCTAACATTGGACATGATCCTTCTGCTGGTCCATGTAAACTTATATCACTTGTGTTTTCTTATAGCTTCTTTGATAAAAGCAATGAAATACTGGGGAAACCTAGATTCAGAGAAGCCAATTTTTTTTGAATCAGTATCTGCTGCAATAACTAACATCCACTTAAATAAGGTGAGTTGAGCAAGTTTGCATGCCAGAATTATAAGAAAATTGAAATGTAGAATACATGGGCTTTGCATTTTTTATATTAGCCTATTATCCCACTGACATCTAAAAACCTATTAAAATGTGCCCCCTCCTCAGAGTCCTCTGCTACAAGTAAAGGAATTTTTTCATTCCTTTTTTGGACAAGTTATGAATTGTTTAATAATTTGGATCTTCCAACAATATCACTGCTTAGAGGATTTGGTGATCACCTATTAAGTGCAAACTGCTTGCTTATAAAAATAAATGCATCTTCCAGGATCCACTATCCTGGGAATTGGAATCCACCTCTGTCAAATGCAAAAACTCTAAATATAGCCTTATAGCTTTTTGCTGCTCTCATACCCTTTACTCTAAGCTCATACTGCCACCTTTGGAAATACTATTTGCAGAGCCCAGCACTCACATGGTTTGAAGTGTCAAAGTTATCTTCCAATACTGGGCTGTATGGTTAGTTTAAGAACTGTTCCTAGAACTTTGATTTCCCATAATTTTTCTTTGATTTTGAATTGTTTGGCCTTTCCTTAACCCTAGAACAGCATCTGTTATCTCTCTGAGTCATCCCTATTATGTGCAATTAGAAGAGTATGTATTTACAGAATAATAATAATATTATTGTTATTATTATCATTTCTACTACTACTATTACTGCTGCTGCTGCTGCTGCTACTACTGTTATATACCTAACATTCACTGTGTGCTCATTATGTTCCAGGAATGTGCTAAGAGCTTTACCTATGTTACTTCACTAAATTTGCCACAACCTCATGAAGTAGATATTATTATTGAACCTATTTTTAGAAATAAGGAAACTGAGGTCCAGGGAAGTTATACCATTTGTAAGTGGTAGAGCCAGTTTCAAAGTCAGCAGTCTGACCTAGGACCTGGAGCTTTAAACTTCTATGCTCTGATGCCTCAGAGAATATCCATTTTCTTAGCTTGGCTGGACAGCTTGCTTCAGTTACTACTGTTCTTTGACTATGATATCAACTTAAGGGTTAAGTAAGTAGCAATTGCTAATTTCTTCCCCTTCTATTTCAGAATTTGAGCAAACTCAGTGACCACAGTGAAATCTGAGACTCTCATGCTGCAGTACAGCTCTTTTCTTTAGCAACTGCCCCGAAGAGGCCATACTCAAGTATTTTCACATTTTTTGTTGTGTAGATCCTACAAATGACCTCTACTAAAATAAGTGTGATGTGACTTACTAACCACATAACCGCTGCTCAAGGTTTGCCAACAATTTTATCTAATCTTTGTTAGTAAGCAAATTCACTTTGTAGGTTATTGTATAGTTATTTTATAAAAATCAGTATGCATTTAGTTTTAGTGTACTGAAAGGTAAACATGAATTTATTTCCTTTTTTCATACCAAAGTATTTTGTGTTAATTCAGTTTGTTGTAGTTCATTTGTAAAAGTGAGAAATACTTTGTCATATGATAAGAGATTTAGAACATTTGCAAGCCATTTGTAAAAATGCAGGATCACCTGTAACTAATACATAAAAACAACTTAGCAAGTGTGCCATTTTCCCTAACCAAAGAAGCCATTAAATATCAATAAGCTTAAATGTTACTTCATGCAATATGATTATGAAATTCACAGAAAGTAAGTCAAACAGAAACAAATGGCAAACTAGAAACCATTCTTCTCCATACCTTTCCATGCATGGATGTCTTCAGGAATGTTTTCAACATAAGTAGTATCCCAGTGAAACCATGTCCTTGACATTAGTCTGTTTTGCTGTAAATATTGGAACTGCTTAGGATCTTCAGAACTTATAGCCCTAATTTCCACATTCCCACCCCATAAAAGTTTCCATTTTCAGCTTTAGTTTTTTTGGAACCAGAGAATGTGGAAGTTGAACCCCTTATGATTTTTTCACAAATATGATTTTTAGAAGAGAAAATATCACCAGTAGAATAGCTTTGTACTTTTCCAATATAGGATTAACTGTAGTAGTTTGGGACTTTCCTATTTCAGAGAGATAGTCAATATAATATAATACATTTATCTATCTATATCCCTATAGATAGATAGATCTCCTTAGAATGCTTTTTCTTTTCTTTTGTTAGAAGGGAGCTTAGGTAAGTGGTTATCTTTTAACCCACTAAACCACCAGGGTATTGACAAATAAATACCACAGGCCAGGCTGACTTGTATAAGTTATTATTTTCATGTTTCTACATATATTTTCAGTCACATACAATTATATAGTTTCATATTTTTATCTAACAGTTTGATTTACCTATGAAGAAATCTCACTTTCAAAGATAGATGTAGATGCACTCTTTAGTCTTAAGACATTTTAACTGTTCTAGAAATTACCAGTTAACAAAAAGCCAAGTACTTTAAAGTGAGTTTGAGAAGTAGTTTGAAAACAAATTTAAAGACTGGTAATTTAGGTGTTTTTGAGAACATCTGTAAGAGTAAATTCTAATATCTGCCGTGTGATGTAATGGTTCCTAGCAAATGTGTAGTAAACATTCACATGGCCCTTATTTTTACCATTGAGTCCTAGGCAGACAATGTAATAAAATGAAAGGGGAATAATAAACATTTCAAATTCTCGTAACTTATTTATTCATGTCAATTCTGATTGACATGAACTACAAACGGTAGTTTTTGTCCCACAGGAAGCTTCAATCCTTTCATCACTAATTTGGATTGAAATGAGTGAAGCCGACTTTTCTTCCCATCAAATACTGTTCCAAGAAAATGTGGAAGTAATAATTAGAAGTAAAATTTCCTTAAAGAAAGGAATTTCACTCTCCTTTTCTGATTAAATTATTCCAATGGTGGATGGTGGCAACATTCACCATCGCTAATCCATTGGTCATTGGCACATAAACATGAGTCAAGGGAAGTTAAGAAAGAAATATATTTTGCTATGTATAAATTGATGTATTTCTATGCAAATTTAGTCTATTATTAAATGCATGCACTGTAGGCATTTTCTAATTTGTTAGAGATTATGGACTGTAGATGGCGTTAAAATCATTACAGGTAATCAATGGATGGTTTCTTCTGTTTTATTAACAAAGCTGACACCTAGTTGTATGAGAAGATGTATTTGAATGCATTTCAGTGTTTATAGTAGACATCTAATAGATAAAACTTAAAGCTAATAACTTTGGTGTCAAATGTTATTATATTCAAAGTAAAGGAAGACCAAAACATGTACCATAAATAACCCTGTGTTCTAAGGCTTATCCTGCATACTAAGATCCCAGTGACTAGACCTGTAGGAATCCCTGAAATTGAGTTTTGAAAGCTCAATAACTGAATATGAGTTTCAGACACACAAGATTCTAAAACATAAATGTTTATTTCAAAGCAGACATTAATAACAGGAGAACTATAATAGGGCACTGATGCTAGACTGTTTCTAGTCATGATTAATTAGTTTTATGAGATTACCTTATTTTTGTATATGATAAATTACTTTCATATTACTTATTATGGTAAAATAAAATTGGGAAAAATTAAAACTGACCTATAAGACCAGTTAAGGACCTAATAGAGTGACATATATAAATTAACCATAAAGTGTGTAACCAGGAAAAAAACTGTTAACATTATATTTATGCAAATTAAATGCCCTTAAATTTTACCATTTATCTTTCATTTTAAAGGTTATTTTCCCCTGATTATATGATTCACGTGTTATAAAGTCTAACTTGAATTACTTTGCAGTAATTTATGTGACAGATCTCTACTGTATAAATGTGTAATGTAATGAGGAAAGAAATCTCTCTTTTTTAATGAAAACATTAATGTGTTAATACCCTGTATGGATAATGTTTTACATTTCGTGGTTACCAAAATATATTAGTATGTTTTTGAACATACATATGCTTAGAAATGCATGTTCTGCATACTGTGGGATGATCGTCTAATTCAATGTAAAATATACTTTTTGGCAGTGATTTTGTTGCCAGATTTTCAATAGGGAGTTAAGTGAGGCTTGCACAATCTTAAGATTTTTAGTTAAAAATCGTATCATCTAATATGTCACACATATTTTTATATTTTTCAATGCATTTAATTATCTTTTAAATAATCCTTTGCACCGACTCAGCATATAACAACCAATTTACATGGAAATAAACTGAAATATGGTAACTATTATGCTTAAATGGATTTGTGTCCATTATTTCAAATTATTCACCCTCCTGTAAAGCAAATAATACATTTTGCTGTCTTAGACTGACCACAGTCTAATGTGTTGACAATTCCTGGATTAAATATTCTTTGTAATTTGTTCTTACAAAATTTAAACCTAGAATTGTAGGGTATGGTATGTCAATTTATGGAAGGCTAATAAAGTTACTTTTTGCTGCAACACTACATTTACACAATCTTTTTACACCAGGTTTAAATCCTTTGTGTTCTAATTTTAATCAATATATAATTTAATTTTTTAATTTGTTTGGGTTCTTCATTTATATACTGTTGTTTATCTTTCCTGAGTTTCTAGGCTGAGTTCAATATTCTCCAGAATTTTAAAGGTTACTGCTCAAAGAACAAGAAGATAAGTCAGTCTTCTAGGTGTTGGAGGTATGGCAGTGAATAAAGCAGAAAAAACATCCCTTCCCTCATGGAACTTACATTCTAACAAGGGAAGACAAAATAAATGGGATAAACTTTAAATACCTTTATTATAAGTTAAATGATAATATGTGCTAAGAATAAGAATAAATTAAGGAAAGAAGATAGAAAGTATGGCAGAAAAGTGGGTGTTGTGTCCTGAGATAGGGTAGAAGGAATGGTGATAACAGGAATGTCTTAGCAGAATACTATGGTAAAATACCACAGACTGGTGAGCTTAAACAATAGAGATTTATTTCTCAAAGTTTGGTAAGTTGGGAAGTCAAAGATCAAGGTGGCAACTGATTCAATTTTCTGGTGAGAGCTTCTTTTCTGGCTTGTAGCTAGTAGTAGACAGCTACTTTCTTGGTGTGTCCTTCACATGGTGGAAAGAGAGTGCTCTCTGGTCTCTTCTAAAGGATCCTATAAACCTATAAGCTTAGGACTTCACCCTTATGGCCTTATTTAACCTTCATTACTTACCTATATGCTCAATCTCCACATACAGTCACATTGGGGGTTAGGGCTTCAATATATGAATTTTAGGGAGACACAAGTCCATAGCAGGGAGTTATAAATTTCTTATATATTAAAAAATTCCTTTTTATGTCTGAAAATTAGGCTTACTAGAATTTTATTTATATTTAATATAATGTGATGCTTTTGCATCAAAAACATGAGAAATAATTGTGAACTGTCTGGTTAAAGCATTTCAATGCTAGAAAGTGTAGGTTAGCATAGATATTACTAGCCATACCTGGCTACTGAGATGAGATTCTGGCCATGAAACATGTGAAGTGGTCAGAATGGGTTTGCAGTATACCAATGGTTGTTCAGAAGCTGAGACATTGTATTCTGGTGATGGTTTCTAATGATTAGCCATCCTGATTTGAAGATAGAATTGAATTAGTTAGCTTTCCCTTAACTATCATATTGTTAAAGAAAATAACAAGAGAAATGCTTAATTCTACCAGTTGTCACAGGGACAGGTGCAGAACAGAGTGCTGATGCTAACTGCAGTGAGAGATTTCCACTTTTTTGTTTGTTTCTTTGTGGTTTTTGTTTGTTTTTTTTTATTAAGAAGGAAAGAATACTATATTACTATAAATTAGCTAAGTGCTCTGAAATTATGGCTTTCAGAGTGCTCATTATGTAAAAATCCTCACTCATTTTCTATTGATCCAGGAACACAAGGTTATCTTGGTCAAACATATTTCCTTTCTGTCCTAAATAATAAAGACCAGTCTCTCTACTAAGTATAGAAAGTATTTAGTATTTTTGCCTATTTGGAGCCTCTTGTTTTTATGGCCACATTTAGAAATCAGCTAATGAATAAGTCCAGTAAGAATTTATACTTAACAAGAATAATTGTTGCATTAAAAAAAAATGCTTCAATTAAAAAAATAGAATTGTATCTTTATTTCCTTTGCTTCTAGACCTGCCTTTTGTCCCTTCTTTGTTTTAAAGCAATTTCTGGCCTTGTGAG